AGGCAGGCATGTCTGTGGTGTGGAGATATTTTAAAGTGGATGACAAAGATACTGCGTTTGCAAACTGTAACTGAGGTAAGGAAAAGGCTGCATTTAACACAACGAACCTGATAAGGCACCTCAAAAACAAACACCCGACGCAATACACAGAGTTTAACCAAACTCAGCCGAAGACGAATCAGCTCACGCTGCAAGAGACCTTAAAGAGGAAAGAAAAAATGCCCCGCGACAGTGAGAAGGCGCAGGGCATCACAGCTAAGATAGCACAAATGATTGCAATGAGCGACCAGCCATTGGCTCTTGTAGAAGACCCTGGATTTCTTATGCTTATGGAGTACTTAGAGCCCCGGTATGAAATGCCCTCTCGCCACTATTTCACYGAGAAATCACTGCCAGCGCTTCAAAATAAAATTCATAACAAACTGCTTGACCTGTTGTCAGACGTGCCCCATGTTTCATTTACCACAGACATCTGGAGTTCGTCTGTGTCTCCCATGTCACTACTAAGCCTCACAGCACAATGGATTGACTCTAGTTTTGTTTTACGTCGTGCAACCCTGCATGCCCAGGAATTTCGTGGATCTCACACAGCAGAGCRCATCCAACAGCAGATGGAAACTATGCTAAACAACTGGGGAATCGATAAGCAACGGGTCCATGTCATTTTGCGTGACAACGCTGCAAATATGAAGAAAGCCATGGGGAGTATGGGAGTGAGGAGTGTGGGTTGTGTCGCACATTCTTGCCAACTCTGCGTGCACGAGGGCCTGCTTTCCCAGCGCAGTGTGACAGACACCCTGGCCAACGCGAGGAAGATTGTAGGCCATTTCAAACACTCACCACTGGCCTACTCTCGCCTTGAAGACATCCAGATGGACCTGAAAATGGATAACCCTGTTTTTCTTTTCTTCATTTTAAAAATGTATTTTAGAAGTATCGGATCGGGACTCGATATCGGCCAATTCTCAAATTAAAGGACTCGGACTCGGACTCGAGGTCAGAAAAACCTGATCGGGACATCCCTAAATAAAAGGAAGAGATCCAGTGAGGTGGAACCGCGGTCATGTGTCCAGCACCTGCTCTCCTGCCTGGATTTAGCCAGAAACCCCTGGCGGGCGATATTTCTGCAATAATGCATAAAATTCAGAAACACACCTGATGGATCACTTCCAGGCAATAAAAGGAACAGATCTGGGGTCTCATTTATAAAGGATTGCGTGGAAACCATACTAAAAGTGAACATACGGCCAAAAGGCAGAAATGGCGTACGCCAAAAAAAAAATCAGATTTATAAAACCGTACGTACGCACGTTTCTGCGCATCTTTCCTTTATCCAGTGGTTTGCAAAAGTATTCATACCCCTTGAACTTTTCCATATTTTGTCACATTACAACCACAAACATAAATAT